TTGAAGTAAATGTGAAGAAACACATGGTGTGCAAGTTGAAAAAGAGTCTTTATGGGCTGAAACAAGTGCCAAGGCTGTGGTACAAGAAGTTTGACTCATTCATGAGAAGTCAAACGTACACAAAGACTTTTTCAGATCCATGTGTATACTATAATAAATTCTCTAACAATAACTTTATCATCTTGTTGTTATATGTGGATGACATGCTAATTGTAGGACAAGACAAGAAGTTGATTGCCAAGTTGAAAGAAGATTTGTCCAAGTCATTTGACATGAAAGACTTAGGTCCATCACGGCAAATTCTAGGATGGAGATTGTCCGAGATAGGAAAAATAGTAAGTTGTTACTCTCACAACAGAAGTATATTGAATGTATACTTAAACGCTTCAACATGATGAGTGCTAAATTAGTTAGCATGCCTCTTACTGATCATATGAAGTTGAACAAGACAATGTATCCTACAACAAAGGAGGATAAAGAAAGTATGGCTAAAGTTCCATATTCCTCTGCCGTCGGGAGCTTGATGTATGCAGTGGTATGTACCAGACCTGATATTGCTCATGTTGTCAGTATTGTTAGCAGGTTTCTTGACAACCCCAGAAAAGAACATTGGGAAGTTGTGAAGTGGATACTCGAGTATCTAAAAGGAACCTCAGATGAATGCTTGTGTTTTGGGAGATCAGATCCAGTCTTGAAGGGCTATACAAATGTTGATATGGCCGGTGATACTGATAATAGAAAATCCACTGCTGGATATCTATTTACATTTTCAGGGGGAGCTATATCATAGCTGTCTAAATTGCAGAAGTGTCTTGAACTTTCAACAACTGAAGCAGAATACATTGCCGCTACGGAAGCTGGCAAGGAGATGGTATGGCTCAAGCGGTTTCTTCAAGAGCTCGAATTGCATCAAAAAGAGTATGTTGTCTATTGTGACAGTCAGAGTGTAATAGACTTGAGCAAGAACTCCATGTACCATGCAAGAACAAAACATATTGATGTGAGATATCATTGGATTCGTGAGCAAGTGGAGAACGAATCTTTACAGGTCAAAAAGATTCACACGAGTGAAAATCTCGCGGTATGCTAACTAAGGTGATACCAAGAGACAAGTTCGAGTTATACAAAGAACTTGTTAGCATGAGTTCTATATGAAAAGCTGGAGATACCTCATTCAGGTACATGAGATTGGAAGGGGAGATTTGATGGGTCCATCACATGTGAAAGGAAGACAACTTCTTTTAACAAAGGCTGCACCGTCCAAATCCAAACTTGTCAAATAAATATTTGGTTGGCAAGGAAAAGTCAAAAAGGGAAGGAAGACAAGTTTGGTTTACTACTATTGATGTTACCTCTGACATCTTTGAGAGGTTCTTCACTTCTATAAATAAGAGAGTATTCCTTCAATTGTTGGACATACCAAACGAAGAGAAAGAGTGATTTACAGAGTAAGAAGCAAAATACTCTTTAAGAAAAAATATAGAGAGTTTGAGCGGTATTTGTAGTGAGGTAAAAAAATCAAAAGAGGGTTATTTCTTTTGTGTGTGTAGTAGTATTGGAGTATTTTACTCGGTACCCCAAATTGTAAAATCCTTGCTATAGTAAAATCAGTTGCTCCTCTCGGGCCGTGATTTTTCCTTTATTTAGAAGGATTTTCCACGTAAAAATCTCGGTGTCCTTGTTTCTCTTATTATTACCGTTGGTTACTGTATTTTAGTAATCCGCATTTATTATAGTCGTATACCGTGAATATTATTTCTGTGGGAGTTTATTTTTCCAACAATGTTTCCTCTTTAAACTAGGCAAAATACATAAACGGTCACTTTAAGTTGTCCTCAACGATCAACTGAACACCTCAACCGAGCCTATTTTGAACTCGACATTTCAAACCTTTAATAAAGTAGGTCAACGAAACACTAGAGACCAACAAACCTCATGCGTGTATCTCAATTGCGGATGACATGTCAAACGGATAAATTATTAAATGACATGTGTATTTGTTTTAAAAAAAGATTATGTATTAACTTTCTCTACCCAAAGAACATCTGCCAACCACAATTATTTGGTCACCGTTGCCGGCCAAACTCCCTCCATTTTTTTTTCTTTTTTCTTTCTCAAAACCAAATCAAAAATCGTCCTAACCCACTTAATTGAAGATTTTCACCAGCAAGAACCAATTACCAAATTCAATTGTAGTGAAATTGGAAGGTTTTAGATGAATGTTTTTCTCAAATTTGGGGTAAAGGGAGATGAAGGAGGTGATAGTGGTTCTTTGGTGGTGTAATATTGTTGGAGATGATATGCAGGACATCAAAGGTCATTGGTGTTTGTTCTGTAAGTGATTGGTGTTTGGTCTAATGAAAAATGGTGAGAAGAATGTGTTACGGTGGATTGGTGTATGTGATAGAAGTGTATAATTAAATTAAGGCTATGGACATGGCAGTGGAATTAGCTGTCAAATTTGATATTTTTAGATTTGTTCAGTGGTGGATTGTGGTTGTGATGGTGGTGGAAATTCTGTCCGGAATATATCTTTTTCTTTATGGGTTTCTACGGAACGAAGAAAAGTAAAAAGATTGAGGTCAACAGTGACTATGGGGTCATTAGATTTGAATTTTTTAACATTACATTTAAATTGTAGAATTTTGATCACTGTCGTCTCTGCAATGATTCCCAATTATTATCATAATAGTTGTTTTAGCAATCAAATACTAACACTCTTCCGAACTAAAAAGAATTTTAGTAAAGTTTTCATAGAAAAGAATTGGAGAAGAAAGGTCTGGTGTGCATAGAATGGTGGAGGAAAAAAATTGGAGAAGAAAGAGGTGGGGTCCACATTAAGTTTAGGAAAAAAAGAAGGATAAAGTTAATTCTAAAGAGTTTCACGCGCTCCAATCTGAGTGTATTAAGGGGGTTTAAGAGATATATTTCTACTTAGCAGTAAGTGTCTATTTGGTCATTAGCATTTTTGAAGTGTTCAGTTGGTCGTTGAGGACAATTTAAAGGGCCGTTTATGTATTTCACCTTTAAACTATGGTTGCATTTGCTTCAAATGTTTGATTAGTTTTAACCACGTGTTAAGTATACCTTTTGTCTGGCTTATGCTTTGCGTGAACATCTATAATGTCCAAGATGAAAAGGAGGGGAAGAATCAATGAAGCGAGCGTTCGTGGAAAAATCGATCAAGAGTGTCGCCTTTTGAAGCGCGAGTAGCTTAAGGCGATCGAGCTAGGCCGAGTTAGAAAGATTTTTTACGACTCAAATTCATATTAGGTAAGGGAGATGAGGAGAAGAGGGGCAGCTCTCGGTCCGATCATTCAATTTGCTGCAACTTTTTCTGTATTTTTTTTAACTCTCTAACATGTTTGGTTCTGTAGTCAAAGAAAATCCGTCACTTCGTATTCTAGAGTTAAACTTTTGTAAAACTCAAAGGCTTTTCTCTCTTAGTGTTTGGTTGGAGGAAAAGAAGTGCACAAAAAAAAAAAAAAAACTGAAATTTTCTGCTAATTTTTTTCCGCAAAATTTTGAAGCAAACGCCACTATTTTTCAAACCATTTTTTTGTTTCTGTACGTTTTAAGCACTCATAAATTCAAAAATTCCAGTATGTTATAGAGAGAGAATGGACTGTGATTCATTCTAAGAATTAATTCCATTTCTTGATCACAGCAACGAAAACAATGCATCATTGGAAAACAAAATCTAAAATGAATATCTATATAATGTTTAGTTATCTCATAGTTTGGGCATTATGTTTTTGGCAGGGACAAAAATAGACCAGGGGATTGCATATTGGCTTTGGTGCTAACATAATTGATTCACTAAATTTCATTTATCCCTTCATCAGCTCCTATACTTCCTCAGACGATAGGGCAATTAATGCTCAGGAAAAGAGGATACAAAAGAGTCAATAATTCCCCATGTCCCCTTGTTTTAGCCATGTTATTATGACATTTTCCTTTCTTCTATTTGGAAGATGTGAAACATTATAATTTCTTTTCTTTTTTTCCTTTTTGTATCACTTTTGGTTGGAGCCGTAGAATCGTATCAGGATAGGTTACTTACATCACACTCCAGCGGTGCAACCTTTCCCAGATCTTGCGTAAATACAAGTTGCTTCACGCATCAGGCTGTCTTATTTTTAGTACTTTTGGTCCTTTCTTTCTTTTAAAAAGTCTTTTTAAAATAGAGATGAACATACATTTGAATTTTACTTATTTTCCTTTTTTACTTAATTGCTTTTCTGGGCTTGCTTGTTCCTGAGTGTATTTATTTCTTTATTTTGGAAAAAAACTAGCCTCCTTTTCAAGAATAAGTGGAAAAGATACCATACAAATCATTAAGAATTTTCAAAAAATGACTTTTTTTTACCTCCAATACGTTCCTCTATTTGAAGATCGAAATCAGAGCATCAATTGATTTTTTCAAACTAGAGTAAATTCGAGGAATTTTCGGCAATCTATGTATCAGATGTCCTGAAGACGATAATGTCAAAGCAAAACATATCCTAGATCTATACATCCTAGGTTTTGTACAAAGGACAACGTGCAATAATTTATTAGACATAATGTCCTCAGCTGATTGTCAATCACCCCAGTTTCATTTACTTCCTAATAATTATTTCCAGTTCCTTTACAGTTGAATCATCCAATTCTTCTTCCACATATCAAGAGAGGGAGAGGGAAAAGCTCAAGCCAAAATCATTCACATTCAATTACTCCAATTTGAACAATCTGGAGAATGAAATGTTATTACTAGCAATGAGTTCATCTCTCATTACTTCATTATTTATAAATATTTTGACTTTAAGATATTAGGTATTATCAATTAAATAGCAAAGTCGGGCTGTAACTTCCCTTTTCTTACATTTCCAGCATCTAGACTCATTACAGAACCTGGAAAAATCTTGCAGCATTAGCGATATGTCCTACAGGAGTAGTAATTTGAAGCTAATTGCAGGAGATCAATTTTTACGATAGACTCCGAATACCTGGAACTTAAGTAAAACAATAAAACGATTCTAATGGTAATGCAAAGGAGCATCGATGAAAAAGTTTACATTTTAAAGCTGAGATCCTCAGAACAGTCGGGGAAGAGAAAAAAGTTATAGAACTTTTCTTGAAAGAAGCAATAAAGAAATTAAATAATCTAATGATAACTGAGAACACCTCAGGAAAAACTGCTCATTTAAAGTTCATCAAAATCTCTTCTTAGTCCAAAGACAGAATTGCCCAAAAACCAACCAAAATTGGTTAGGAAGCAAAGAAGAGTGATTATTTTCTACCAGCTAACCTGTAAGGGTAATCTACCATGGTCAAAACTGCTCCTTATGCGCGTGCAACCTTATCCACATTAGGGCGCACACAGGTTCTATCCAGCGCACCTTCATGGCCCAACTCAGCTAAACCGGTGATCATTGCTCGATCCAAAGACATTGGTAAGAAGAAACCTAATTAACCTGACTAAGCTCTCCTTATGAAGAAGCATATTGGTGGTGTAACATATATTTGACAACTTCGTAAAATGAAATCACAATTCCGACAGAGGGACCAGCACGAGCAACACGAGGCCCTACTCCAGTAAACAGACCCTTGAGCCCTCCATCCCTGCATTAGTCAGCATGATTTCACATTCAGAATCCACTTCATAGCCAGAGAAACTAGAGTACAGACATGCATCTGTTTGAGAAAATTGTGCGTTCCTCTGAACTCGCATGACACAACCGATTGTGAATTTCCACTACCAATACCCTATCCCTTTCCATTTAAAAGTACAAACAAAATTGGAGGGATAACAATAGCTTTATGGCATTAATATATGCAGTTTGTACGCTATTTTACGTGGGAATAGTTCATTTGACATTTTCTCAAAAAACTGTACCTCCAAATCTCCAGTAGAGTTAGCCTTGTTGTCATTGTCAATGCCCTGGCAGGGTCTCTCTGTAATAAAGAAAAGAGGTGGATAAGCAAACCATCAAATATATGGAGGAAAAACATGTCAATTATCACCATGGATCCTAGGTTTAAGATAAAGGCAGCACTCTCTAACCTAAGCTAATTTCAATAAAACCCTTTATTTCATATGAACATGAAATTGAAATTAACCACCTTGGGCAAAAATAAATTACACTGTGAGCCCTGTCATAAATTGTTGAAACCGTTTATACTCTAGAATACAAGCAAAAAGGTCAAAAACAATTAAATGACAATTACACGACGGTTCTCAAGTTTATGACATCAATTAGAGTTAGCAGATTCCCTAAGCTAAAGCCAACTATATGATTTTCATACCAAATATGCCCTCAAAGTGACCAGAAATGATGCTTGAGCCAAGTGGACAAATCTAAATATCAGTATTATGGAAATGAGGATTTAGACGAAAAACAAACACCTCAATCTGCCTTCTAGTCTTAGCAACATCAAGGGGACATGTTGCAGCAGCAGCAATGCTTCCTGCAACAAAACCAGCAGAAATATTTGCCCCAAGGACACCGGCTGCATTAGGTTCATCTCCCATCAGACTAAGAAGTCGCCTTCTTACCTGTAAATAGACTTATGAGAATAACGTTTGAATCAAATGAAATTCATAAACAGATCAGAATCTAACAAAAGAAGAATTGAATCGTACTGGTTCAAGAGTTGACCAACAAATTGCAGAAAAAGGGACATCACGAGCAAGCTGTGCCCCAAGTCCAGTCCAAAGTACACGATAGCTTTGTACTGCAATAGAAAATACTATATCAACTTCAAACAAGAGATTGCAAGAGCATTCATATTTCAAGAGTGAAAGTAAGAGTCAGAATTTTAGGGTAGAGAAGGAAGGAGCTAGAATGAGATGTAAAGGACTTTAAGAAACACTATATGCTATGTAAAGATTCTACTTTCTGAAGGACCTTGCTTTAGAAAATATTCTTTTATCTGACAAAACTTTTATACTTCGCGAAATACACACATCTCAAACCATTGCCAAGCTATGATTCATTTACTCCTGTTGTAATGTGCTATTGGAGGAGGAACATTTAAAGATCATATCCAATGAGCCTAAAATTGGAAGGGACATTTATAGGAATTTACGTGGATAACACTTTCAATGTTACAATGGAAACTACATTACTATTCAATTTCACTAACAGACAAATTCAACTATCTCTTTTCTATAGCTAGAAAGCAGGAAGTGGAAAAATTGACTTACAACCACTGTTGGTGCTAGTTGTGCTCCTGACATTGGCGATAAGCTCAAACAGGGTCTTCCTGACTCCAGCAGGCTTGTCACATTTGTTCATATCCTTAAATGCCTGTATAACAGAAGAAAGTTAGTAAAAGAAAGAATCAGAACAGTTGAAAGGAGTGGATCATTCATTTCCTTAGCAACTAAAGAGCTACTGGAACACATAGAATGACAAAAATAACAAAATAAGCATCAATGGCTCACAATGTAAAAAAAAAAATTTCTCTACCACCCCTCCCTGTTTCTTTTACCCCTTTCCTCTCCTTTATATATGGTGGACACATTAAAACTTGACAAAGGAGATGCGAAGTACCTGCATTCGCGTTTTGGCAAGTTCAATAGGATAGCAACTTGTGCAAGCTAAAGACCGTGCCAAAGAACCAGCTAACAAAGGAGCATATGGTGTCAAGCTTGGGGCATTTTGAGCAGTGAAAGCCTCTAACCGGTTGCGAAAAATGTCATAGCAAGGCAAGTAAATCCCGACCTGTTTGAAGAGCATCAGCACAACATTGTGATTATAACATATAGCGTAAACTCAACTTAAATATGCCAAAAAGGGAGTTGTTGGCGAGTTCAAAGCAACTAATAAGATCTACAGGCACATACTGTTGGTACAGCCAATGCTAGAGCAGCATTTGTGCCTCTCCATAGCCTAGAAATACCCTCCTGTGAAAGGACTCCAGTTAGTGTCACGAAAATTTTAAACAAAACAAACTGCAACATGAAACTTCTGAAACAAGCATGAAAGAAACATGAAGCCTTGAGCAATCAAGACAATCTACAGACTTGAGTGTCTGAAAGATAAGTGAGAATAAATATGCCAACCTGCCGAATAATTTTGTAGAAGACATCTAGTGTTCCTTTGTACTGGAAACAATCAGCCGGGCAGATTGATACTGTACCATGTACACCAGCACGGGTGCATGAAGGTGAACACCTCAGATCTGCAAACATCTGAGTGAACAAGCAAATAAGTCAACATCAATTACTCATTACAGCATAAGCAAAGATATATAACTTTACATTCTTCGGAGACCAATGCAGATAAACATTTGAGATAAGGGGGTGCAATAACTCAGGAAAAAACACTGTAATTAAGACCCTCTTTTTATCTTGTTTTATTTAATAATGGTGGTGTCCGAAAAAGCCTATGTGCACCATGACTAATCTATTGGGCATATGCCACCTCTCACTAGCACATGCACCGAAGCTTGACTAAGATTGTTACTCCAACTCTTCACCATAACTAAATCAAGTTTCATCCCCCACCAAGAAAGGAAGTTGTACTTAGCCAATTGCATCAATCTCAAATTTGCTGCATGTGNAATTCTACCGCGGCTGCATCTATTTTTCTTAATTTACACTTTAAGAAATATAACATAGAGTATAGTCTTCCTTCTAGTGTCTACTGCAGTTGCATCTATTTTTTACCTATCCTAAGCCGAGGGTCTTCCGGAAACAACCTTTCTGCCTTCTTGAAGGTAGGGATAAGGTCTGCGTACACACTACCCTCCCCAGACCCCACTTGTGGGATTACACTGGGTTTGTTGCTGTTGTTGTTATTGTACACTTTATCTACTAATAGCGTCAAGTTGATCCTATTCTAGTGATCATGTCACACATGCTCTCATTCCTGCTAGTACCACTCCCAAGTTTGGTGTCCTCAGACACTATTCAGAACTAATCGAGCAGGCAACACGTGCAGTAGTTATGTCAAAGTGTTTATGTAACTGCAATAATACAAGGTAAAAATCACTAAGGAGAAAAGAGTGGACCATTCGCTGTAATACAATTCCATCTTTCGAGTTTCGAATATCAATTAGATCCACTAAAAATATACAGATTAAACATTGCCCCAGCATTTTCCTCCGGCAATGTGCAAAGAAGTTTGTGAAACAATTAAGAAAACTGACATAGCTTTTTCATCTATCTTTTACAGCACAGCTAACACTTTTGCTATAAATACTTCAACAAAGATAATTCCAACAGGACCAACACACAAGTCAATATCCTCTCTTTCTAACTAACTCGTTTTCAAATGCTGGTTATCAAGAAAACACATTGGTTTTGCCTGTTCCTTCCACAAAAGGTTTTGGGTTGCGGTTAGTACCATAGTTCTCGATGTATGACATAGGAAAAGAACTTCAAGTGGAAGAAGTGAACAAATCCATCTTCGAGAAAGACAAATTAAAGTATGGCACAAAAAAAGTTTCAACATAGAAAGAACACTTAAAAGCATGTTGTACCATGTTTGGTCCAAAAACTGCCATACGGCTTGTCATGTTACTCATTGGATGTGAATAAGCAACTCCAGCTGCTTGTGCTTGCAATCTGGTCTGTAAATAAGTGCAGAAACAGAAATTAGTCAGCTCATCACTTTATGTATGCATGTAATATTGTTCAAATAAAGTAACAAAAAACTTGTGGATACAACTAAATGAAAATCAAAAGATAAGTAGATGGTGAACAAAATAGTTGGAAAATTGCTGGTATTAAGCATAGAGACCTTGACAACATCAAGTGGATTAACAAGGACGGCAGAGAGAAACGCTGCACCAGCTGCTGAAAAAGCTCGTTCGGATACTCCCAATTGGCCATCCGAGGAGGGGCTGGGATCCAGAGATGGAGGCTGCTGAGGATGTAAGGGTTCAGCCCCATCTGTGATAATTACTGACTCGGACATCAAGGAAACAGTATTATCAATATCAAATACTCTATTCGACTGATCAGTCGTGTCCGTCCAAGAATTTTCTCCCCGCTTCAATTCATCCACCATTTTTTCTCTCAATCTAACTAGAACCAAAGATAGATCAACCTGAAACGAATTGTTGCAAGAAACAAACCCGTTCAACAATTTAAGCACTGAAATCCTATAAAATACAATTATGATTTATGAGAAAGGAAAACTTTGACCATAAACCTCACCCCCTTCTTTTTTAACTTGTAATACAGTTATGAAAAAGGAAGCAAAAATAATAGCAAATAAATGGAAATTAGGAATAACAAAGCTAAAAGAGAATAGAACCCACCCCCACCCCCCATGGAAAGAGTGTCAATATAGGATTAAAACGGAAGTTACATCCAAAAGCATACAAGGTAAGCACAGAATATGTTCTTGCTATAGAATTTATTAAATAAAAAGACAACACCTTTAATACCAAATTAGTTGGGGCCGACTAGATGAATCCTCAATATCAACAAATTTGATTCCAATAGTCAAGAATTTGTTTTTTAAGACAAAAGATAAGAAAAATCTCAAGACACAAAATTCATTTCTCCTCCACCCAAAAACAAAAGGAAATGAACAAAACCAACAAAATCCATGAACTAGGTTTTCAGAATATTGACAGACAACAGCTATTAAGGGAAAAATTCAAACAAATAAAGAATAAAAATCAGAGCTTTAACTAGAAAAAACGTAAAACAATACTTAGTAATGAAGAGGAAGAATAACACGACAGGAAAATAATTGGAAAAAATAAAAGAGGACAATAAATAACCTCTTGATCTCAGCTTTAATTCAGCAGTTGTGGGAGTGAAATCATCATAGCAAAAATATATTGAATGTTATTTGGGGAAGCAGTTCCCTAGTTCCTTGGAGAAGAGGAAAACATGAGAAGAACATATGTCGACACAAATAAGCGAGTATGGCCAAAGAAATCTCTCGAATTAGGGCTGCGTTTGGCACGCCTACAAATTAGGACCTATAAAAGGAAATTAAATACTTCTGCTTATTTTTGGAAAAAAAGGAAATTTGATTGAAACATGGAAAGGACCAATAGGAAAAGAATACCCTTCTAGAAGTAGGACTTGGAAATCTAATGAGCCGTTTGGACATTAAAAAAAAATCTTTTTTTCCGAAAAATATTTTCAAATTTGGTTATACCCTAAATATTTTTTCAAGTGAAATGCATATACAAATACATTTTAGATTCCAAATACCTTTTTTTCAACTTGACTAAAAAACTATTGTGTTCAAAAATTATCCAAACGCCTTCTAAGTTTTTACATTATTGCTTTTAAAATACTCCGGTTCTATTTCTTGTATGACTGCCATGGTTTCAAATAGGCACGCAGTTAAGGAAAGATGTAAAGTTCCAATAACCATTTTCTTTTGTCCAATTGAAAACTATGAGAAATTAGGTAGTTTTTTTTACCAATATTGTTCACTAATCACTATAACTAAACTCGTCTATAGATGGGGATATAAAATTAGATGGTAACCCATTTAATGAAAGATTTACAGCCCATAATAACAAAATAAAAATCCAATATAATTAGGGTAAGTGCAACGTAATTTACATTGAATAATAATCATTCATTATGCAATATTATACAGAATCACGGATCATCAGGTGCTTACATAGGCTACAAATTAAGTTAGGTGGGAATGCGACAGACGAAGGGAAAGGAAAATGAAATTTAAAATTTTGTCTTTTCTTGTTTTTTATGGAATGTAAATATAGTGATATAATGCAAAAAATACGATACTCGCAAATTTATCAAATTGTGCAAAAGATAATTTTTACCGTCAAATTCCATTTTACTCGTCCTACTAGATACCCTTCCATTTTCTTTTAAAATGCTCAATTTTGTAATTGCGCGACATAAAAATTTTCATCTAGTTTGAATTGCCTAGAATTATTCATCTTTTTACTTCTAAGTTTTGATTTTGATGAATATATTAATCACTGACTCAATAACATATCGAATTTTTATTTTTAATTATAATTTAGAGCCTCATCGCAGCTACTAAACTTTTTCTAAATTCAACCCCATCCCACCCTCACCCCCACCCCTCTTCCTTCCTTCTTTTTTTTGACCAAATCCAAAGGAAGAAAGAGAAAATACATTCACTAAATTGCTTGTTTATTTGGACGAGAAAAAAGGCATGAAATAAAAAATAAGTTAAACAATTGCTTGGACGGGAAAAAAGCCCAAAAATCGTGGTGTAAATGCATGACTACTGGCCGCTAAGGATTGGAAGTTGTAGGGCTTTGGTTTCGCGGCTGAGATTTTAATTTTAGAGGTGCCATTTTCACCATTTTACTCTTTAGGTAGTAGGAGTATTAGATATATCCTCTCATATGAATTTAGATGTCTCTTTCTATTAGTTTTTTTTTGGTCATGATCTTTTTATTAGATGAAAGCTTCAAATTTGTCTCTGTAATATTCAAATAGCTTAATTTTATTCTCCGGTATACTTTTGATCAATTCATATTATTGACGATAGCAAAGTGATTTTATATTTATCCTTTGCTATTAATATCAAACTCTTGCATCAAATAAGTGGACTTCACGCGTCCAAATACTTCAAAGAAAAAGTTCAAATTTATCCATTAACTTCTGATAATGATTTAGAATTACTCTTAGTTTTAATTTGAAATTGTTAAATATAAAAATAAAATTATTTTCAACGAGAATAATATTAGATCAATAATTTAACTAAAGAAAACTTGCTCAATTTCTGCCTTACCTATTCCTAGGTGCACATCGGGAGTGTGCTATCAAAGCGCAAGCACCAAGTAGCAATTTGGACATGTGATCATGTCATCAATTTGTGCTGCAAAAATTCGAGTTAATACGTGTCATTTTTGAATATATATTAAAATTTTATAACTTTAATTAAAATATGGATAAATTGAGAATATGATTAATATAGCTTTTCTTTTACAATATATGATACAAGTAAACGAATAAAAGAAGTACTATTATGCTTTAACTTTATTAACACATATGTCTGACTTAATAAATGACTGTCTTTTAACTTTAAATCTTGAATAACCAAGACCTCAACGTGAATAGTACTCAAAAATCTGAAAGTTGTGAAAGAAATTATATGTCAAGTAGAAACTAAAAAAATATTAAAGATTAAATCTTTTAGAAAGCACGTTTTCAAACTCAAAGATATGTGGACTTGTACAAACAATGACCTCAATATAGAAAACATTAGAAACTAAAACTTCAAAACTTTGAATCAGATTTACAACCCACGATAACAAATTTAAAATCCAATGCAAACATGGTAACTTATGTTGACTAATAACCATCATTAATTCATTTTTATACGGAATCACGGATCATTTATTGCCTAAATACGCCTCTACTAAATAAGGAAAAGGAAAATGATGCCTTCCCTAGTTTCTTATGGTATGCAAGATGAGACCTTAAGTTCTATTTATACTTAGAGACAATGGAAGGATGCAGAGACGAGTGCGGCCGCACAATTTCAAGTGCGAGGCGTACTTAGCTACCTGGCCTTCAATGGTCTGTCACTCTTGTGCAGTCCGCACAATTCTCCAGAGGTCGCACTTTTGCTCCACACTAACAAGTAAAAAGTTCATAGAACCTTTCATTTGACACCTGAGTTTGTTCATACAAGTGCGGTCCGCAGATAAAATTTGCGGCCGCACAAAGTCTTTTGCAGTGGCAACCTTTTTCTGCGGTGGCACAAATAAAAAGTGCGGTCCACATTTCCTGCTTCAATGACACAACCTTGTCTACCATTTTTTTTTAATCTAACACTCATTCCTACATCACTTTCAAATCAAGTTAAAAACAACAAATAACATCTAACTACAAAGAGAAATAGGGAAAAAACTTGTGTTGCCTTCCAAGAAGCGCCTTATTTAACGTCGCGGCACGATGCAATGTCATAGCATCCTCAAGTGAAGTAAATAACCGCCACCATATGGATCTCTCCAACTTTTCTCAAATAGTGCTTCATGCGGTTGACCATTGACTCGAAATATTTCATTGTTCTTGTTATTCAAATCCAATGCACTGAAAGGTGTCACACCAATAATTTCAAACGAACCACTCCACTTATACTTATGCTTTCAGGGAAACATCCTCAACCTTGAGTTAAACAACAATACTAGATCACCGGCTTAGAACTCTTTGTTCTAAATGTACTTGTCATGAAGATAATTCATCTTTTATTTATACAAGGACGAACTCTCATAAGCATGGTTCCGGAACTCATCCAATTCATTCAAGTGTGTAACCCACAAGTTAGCGACTATATCCCAATCAAGATTCTGCATTGTGCTCTAGTTTCACCGGAAGATGACAAGCTTTTCTGAACACTAACCGGTATGGGGATATTTCGATTGGTGTTTTGTAGGCCGTCCTATATGCCCAATGGAAATTTTTTGAGATCATTGTTTGCCATTTTATACCTATGATTACTTCAACAAATTAGTATCACGGAAGGAAAAGAAGATATTTCAAGAACACACTCAGATATATAGCGAACACCGTAAAAACTCCCTGGCAACGACGCCTAAAATTGATCCACGTCCAATCCGCACTCAATAATGAGAGAAAACAATCGTTGCAATTATAATACCTAACTAGAGTGGGGGTCGAATTCCTCAAGGAGTTTACAATGGGTGTTGAGGTAGATACTTGAAGAGAGAACGTGAAATAACTTAATTATACTTCCAAACAAAATGGTGATTGTTGTCCAATTTTAGCACTAAGAGATTAAACTAATTAAAAGCAACTAGAGAGGGAGTAAATTGTTTTTGGTGTTTTTAAACAATTGAGGAAAGACCTAGGGGTGTAACCTTCACCTAGGTGCAAACCTAATGGGTATACTAAGTTAATACTTGTTTTGTAGATCGGGGTATATTATGACTCTCAATTCTCAAGTATCCACTCAATACCTCTCGGTTATAGAGTGGTTTTGCCCAAATTCACTTTCTCAAGTCCAAATGGGTAACAATCCAAGCAATTGATAAGAGTTCAAGTCGGATTTTTCCTATCTCTAGTTTAAACCCTTTAATCAAACTAGCCAAAACCTTAACTAGCTCAATTTATTGTTAGCCAAGTTTTCCTACATTAGGTTCCTCTTTCTGACGTAAGAACTAAGTCAAATAAATATTAATCAATATCTGCAACCATTAATTCTATATATAATGGAAAAATAAGGCTAAATAACAAACATTCAATCATAAACAAGTATTAGTATTAACAACCCATAAGATTTACACACTAGGATTGGGTCACAACCCTAGCTAAAATCTAGATACTCATACTAGAAAGTATAGAAAATAAAGTAGAAGAAGTAATTAAACCCATAAACTATAATTAATTGATAAAATTAATGGGTCTTCTCCAATATTGGTTACAAATTTCCCAAAATGTCAAAACATAACCGCTACAACTGCTAGGAATACAAAACTTGCCCTTAAAAAGTGTTTCCCGTCTATTTATAATGCCCAGAAATTCGCTGACAAAAATGTCCTTCGGGAGGTTTTGCGGTCGCACGATTCTATGTGCGGACCACAATTTTCTTTTTCTCTTGCACTGGGAGGAATTCTGTAGTCGCATAATTCCATCCGCGGCTGCACTTCAGCTTCTGCGGCCGCATATTTTGATTGTGGATCACACTTTTATGAGGCTTCATATTTGGTCTTTTTGCACCTTCTCTGAACTTTTCAAACTTTATTAGTGCAACCAGCTTTTGCGGCCGCACAATTTGGTGTGCGGACCGCGCTTTTACAAACTCCTCTGAGGCTTTAGGACTTCTTATGCGGACCGCATAATCATCTTCGGCCGCATAATTACTTCTGCGGACCACACTTCTGCTTGCAGTTCTCCTTTTGCCTTGTTGAGCCGGAATACTCCTTTTTGAGTTAGATTTATTCATTTAGATCCAAACCTCCAATATACCTGCAAT